ACAGCTGATACTAAGAAAGGGAGTCAAGAGCAAAGCACTCAAGGGATGTAAGAATTTATTATTTTATAAAACCCAGTTGTTACAAAACAAAACTAAGAATTCGGAAAATTGTATTTCAAAAAATAGCCATTCTGGAACCAGGCCAACTACCGTAAGACACATCCTTGCTTGACCTAAAGTGTCTCAATTATGCCAACCCAGGAACTTAAAAAAAAAAAAAAAAAAAAAAAAAAAAAAAAAAAAAAAGGAAATGCATTTCAAATAGAATGTAACATATGGGCCAGCTTCTAAGCCAGATATTTTCAAACACTATGCCGCAAGAATTTTTGAAACATGCAATACCTGACTAGTTTAGTCAGGGGCACTGACCTCATTTTTTCTTTTCATTGCTTTTTTTTTTTTTTTTTTTTTTTAAAATAACAACAATCATGTTTTATTGATTTTAGAGAGAGAGGAAGGGAGATGGAGATAGAAACATCAATGATGAGAGAGAATCATTGATAAGCTGCCTCCTGTCATTGCTTTTTTTTTTTTTTTTTTTAAGAGTAGAAGGAAGGGAGGGAAGGAGAAAGGTGGAGACAGAAAGGAAGAGACATTGATGTGAGAAAGACACATTGACTGACTGCCTTCCAACCCTGACTGGGGCTGGGAATCAAACCTGTAACCCGGGTACATGCCATTGACTGGGAATTGAACACATGACCCTTCAGTGAAAGAGCCAATGCTTTAACCACTGAGATCACTGGCCAGGACAACTGACTTTTCCCTTAGATTGTCAAATAAGTAAATAAATAAATAAATAAACAAATAAATAAATAAATGACAGATGCAATAACTTCAACAATAAATAATTTTTAAAAAATGACAGCCCCCCACACAATAGCCGTCTTGTGTGAATGAATCCAAATTATAGCTATTTTTTGGTCAGATCAGCAAAAAATATATGTTTTGGTGCACCACAGAATTTTAATAATTACTTTATGCATGTCATGAGATGAAAAAGGTTGAAAATCAATGTTCTAGACAAAATACAAAGAAAGTTACAACGAATCCATTTCCTCGAGGCTATGTGAAACTTCAACCCAAACACAGAAACACCTGTGAAAACTTGCAACTGGAAATGACCTGAGATGAAGGAAGCATTTACTGGACATAAACTAATACAGAGCTTCCAAACAATTGTTTTAGGAACTGAAATTAATTTACCTTAAATTCCGTGACTGATTTGTATTCATTAGCCATGATTTTGTCTTTCATTGTGCCAAAATCCATTGGATGTTTTATTATCATTGAGTATCCAGGAGCAATTGCATCCGTGACAGGAAAAGCAAAAAATCCATGAGGATCTTTTCTGAAAACAAAAACATCTTTATTTAAACTGGAAACCCCTAAAACCTAAATTCCTGAATGACACAAAATCCTTCACAATAAAAATATTAATTTATCAAAGTTGTTTCTTACCAATAAAAAATAAAATTTGTGCTCTTTAAAATTTTTGAATACACTAAAAATTCCAAAACTAGCATCCTGGCTGCAGCTATGACACCTACATTATAGCATCTCTGACAGCCCCCCACATTGCCCACATGCTTTCCTGCCCAGTCAGACTGGGTGTTACCAATGAAAGGCAAGTGTCTACTTCGCATGTGATGGTGGTGAGGGCAAGAACACCTCAGCCATAGAGAAGGACACCCAAATGTCCCCAAGCACAAGCTCTTTGGAAACACTCTTTACCTCTGGAGCTGGCGGAGGAAATGTTCTAGTAGCTGCTGAATAGGCGTGCTCTCATTTTCAGCTGATGATTTAAAAAGTAGAAAAAATAAATGAACAAAAAGATTTAGATATCACTTCACTGAAGAGCTCCAATTTCACAGTATGTACTTATTTGTTTCGAGATCCACAGCATTTTAATAAGAAGGTTCAAATAAGAACTGGATACAAAGATAAACCAGACCCAGCCTTGCTCCACCTCCCCTCAAGCTTAGCTGGGTAGAAAGGACACCCATATTATCAGTTCCCAAAACCGAGTGCCAATATCCCTTAAAACAACAACACATAGGTATCAGTCATCAATCTATTTCTAGCACTTATCATCAAAGGGCCTGCTATATTCCAGACAAGGTATAAAGGGGAGAACAAAGGTTTAGATATAGAAGTTGATCCTGGATTAACTACCCGTGTTTCCCCGAAAATAAGTCATCCTCTGAAAATAAGACCTAGCGCATGGAAAAATAAGACATCCCCTGAAAATAAGATCTAGCGCATTTTTGGGAGCAAAAATTAATATAAGACACTGTCTTATTTTCAGGGAAACAGGGTACTATCATTTCACTTGAGAGTCCTAAATGTCTGAATATGCCTGCTCTTCCTGTGTGAAATAGAGATAGGAACGCATACTACATGGGTTATTGCAAGCACTGCAGTTATTAGCTACATCTCTGGGCACACTTGTGAAAACATGGTTTTTGGTGAATGTAAACACAGATGTTGGTCTAGTTTCCCTCTACAAGTTGCATGTATGTAAATGGCCTTTCTTAGCTCTGTCTACTGAGGGCTACACCCAGGACCGAGACTTGGTTTCTAAATGCCATCCTCCTCTGAGGAAACAAGGCCGAAGCACAACAGGAGTGCAGACCAGCAAGTCCCAACAGAGACCCTCTTCAGAATCACCAAGAAAGCATCATGTGATCATTAACTCTTCAGACATACTGGGGAGAGGGGGAGCACCAGTGTGTGACCTCAAGGAAGAAGTCAGATTAAGCTAACAATTACCAGTGACTGTACTAACTTTGTGGACACATTCATTTCATGAAATGTTGTTTGTACTTGACCTTCTCTTCTCCCCAACATGCTCAGCAGCCAAGAGACCTATCCGTTCACCATGGCAATGACTCGCACAACGGAGGGCACTGCTAGAAAACAGCACCCGCCATGACTGCGATACAATCCCTGCAACCTCCCCCAGCAAGAAAAGAAGTCCCGGAAGAACAAACTCCTTGACCGCCTGGAAGCCTTTGAGGGAAGTGACCACACACAGATCAGAGGGTTCTGGAAACTCTCCTTTAGTGAAGCCAGCACAGCTCCCAGGTTCTGAATAAACTGATTGTAAACCAGCCTCCTCCCATCTATGATGAGCAGCAGTTGGTCAAACCATATTCTAGAAGTTCAAAGATGGTGGCAAAAATTTTGGATCCTACACTAGCCAGTTTGGCTCGGTGGATAGAGCATTGGCCCCCAGACTGAAGGGTCCTGGGTTTGATTCTGGTGAAAGGGCACATACCTCTGTTGCAGGCTCCATCCCTGACACTGGTCCGGGCTCGTTTGGGAGGCAACCAAACGATGTCTCTCTTTCTCACATCGATGTTTCTCTTTGTCTTTCCTCTCCCTTTCACTCTCTCTAAAAAATCAACGGAAAAATATCCTCAGGTGAGGATTAACAACAATAAAGTCAACCCCTTCCTTTAATAACAATAACAATAAAAAGGAATCTCAGACCCAGCTATATTTCGTGTGAGACCTTGGAAGATTAAACACTGCTCCTTCCTTCTGTGCTTCTCCCCGAAAGCGGAAGGACACAATACCAAGACAGGCTTTGAAAATGCCAGCACTTGCCTGGCTGTGTCCGGCATGCTCGGACTGGCCGATCGGGAGGCGGCTCCACTTCTACCTTCTTCCCAGGATCAAAGTCATCAGCCTCTCCCTCTGTGTCGCAGTGTTCCTTCTCCCGTTTCCGCTTCTTCTCTTCCTGTGAGGCAAAGTCAGGGCCGTGAAAGCAATGCAAACAGTTTTAAACAAATTGTTTCTAAGGGGAAACACAAAGCTAAGAGAGAAACACCCTCTTCCAGAGACTCTTCTCACTCCAGATTCCCACCCTTGCAAAGACCCTCCCCAGGAATCAAGGGAGAGGTGTGGCTCAAAGAACCAGAAATGAAGCACTACCTTTATGGTCTGTTTTGCTTCAAACAAATCACCCCCTTTCCTAAGCCCTGTAACACTCATCCTGTATGCCCCACCACCCCCAGGGACTGGGGGCCACCACCCTCCTTTACCTTTCGTTTCCTTCTTTCTTCATCGTCCAGATATTTCTCCTTCTCTGACTTTTTCTTCTTTTTCTTCTTCTTTTCTTTGTGCCTCTCTCGCTCATGATCTGACCTGTCATCGTAGTAACTGGAATCGTGGCCAGATCCAGAGAGTTCAGTCACTTCACTTCCTCCAACCTTGAGAACCAGCTTCAAGGGCTTCTCCAAGGGTTTGTCCGCATACTCTGTAGAGACAGAGAGGGGCCCTCACGGTGTATGCTTCGAGAAAACACATCCCAGGTGTTACTTCCCCTTTCCTGCTCACATCTGTCCCGTTACACTGCATTATCCTTAGGGAGCCAGAGGGAGGGGAACGCAACAAGGGCAGGACCTGGGACCCCGCCGCGCAATCCCGCATCCCCAAGCCCCTGGCCCCTGCCCACCCCCTTGTCAGCTGACACGAACGAGCTGCTGCAGGACCGGGCGGGGAAAGGCGGGAGGACAGAGCAGTAAGAGCTCCTCCCTGAGACCCGGACACAAGTCAACTCACATGCTCGGCTTCTCGCCACGACTTGCGAGGTGAACCAGACTGACTCCGGGCTCGAGCCCCCGCCCACCGCGAAGGCACCCGCGCCCGGAACCTTACTTAGCACGTCCCCGGGACCCTCGCCCGCCCGCCCTTCCACCGCGCGAACGCCCGCCCGGCCCGGCGTCACAAAGCGCGCCGCCGCCTCACCCTCGTACGAGGAGCGCCACTCGGTCTTGTGCTTCTTGTGTTTCTTGCCCATGGCGGCGGCGGGGCAAGGGCGCGGGGCCGAGCACAGCAGCAAGCGCGTCCAGAGCGTGGCCGCCGCCCCCGCGGCCCTGGCTCTGTGCCCGCCTCACCCCTGGAGGTCGTGGGGCCACGCCGGAAGTAGACCGAGGCCGGAACTGGCCCCGCCCGCTCGCAGGCACGAGTGCTTCCGGGTCAGGGGAGGGCGCGCTGCGCGCGGCAGATTCGAAGTTCGGGCTGGGCTAGTCGGTCCTTTGGGCAGCTGTGGAGGAAGAGGTGGAAGTGGACTTGGTGGTGGCGCCGGGAGTCAGGCGGCGGCCACGATCGGACCTGGTACCCGCTGCTCCTGGCAGCGGCGACGGTGCTATGGACCAGGCCGTGGGCGACCTGAAGCAGGCGCTGCCCTGCGTGCCCGAGACGCCGTCCATCCATGTGGAGGTGCACCAGCGGAGAGGCAGGTAAGCCGGCCTGGCCAGACCCCGTGGGACCCGGGTAGGTCTGAGCCGATTCGGCCTCTACGTGGCCCCCACGGACAACACTCGGCCCAGACTTCCACTGGAGCCCACTGTGTCGGACACGGACCTGACCATCAGGCCCGGCCCTGAACGGGACCCACGCTGAGCCCAGCCGGGAGCAGCCCTGAGAAAGCTGGAAGCTAGGATGGGGCAGATACTCAGAGCTCTCAATTCTAGCGGAAATACAGATACTGTCATCAGAGCCAGCATTTCTCAGGCTCTTTCCTGCAAGGAGGCATGTACCACATTGATCGCACACCTTGGTGTGATCTCAGAACCAGTCAGCGTGGCCGTCAGGTGGCAAGGTGGGCTGAGTGGAGCCTTGAATGCCAAGCCCGAAGTGTTCGGTTTTCTCAGTGTGAATGCCAGCCTTGGGGGCTTGTTAAAATGCAAACTCCTGACCTGACCCCACAGTGGTGGGCTTTCCTTCTTTCACTAACAATAGGGATAGCCAACATTTATTGAGTGCTTACTATATGCTAGGCATTGTCCTCAACACTTTGAATTTATTGACAATCTCCAAACAAGTCCAGTGTACTGCCCCCTTTATCTGATGAAGAGATGAGGCACCAGGTGAGCTGCTCCCCAGGTCCCACAGCTGGCAGGCAAGGAGTGGCTCTAGTTTGATCCCCCAGCAGGCCCACTCCCTCCTGTACTCTGCACTACTGCACTTTCTTATGTATGCCCCAGTTTCTTTTTTTTAATTTTTAAGTGTTAAAATCTTGGTGTGTGTTTTTTAACTTAGAACTGACCTTTGTGTTTTGTTTGTCCAGCACGGCAAAAAAAGAAGATATAAAGCTGAGTGTTAGAAAGCTACTTAACAGACATAATATTGTGTTTGGTGATTACACGTGGACTGAGTTTGATGATCCTTTTCTGACCAGAAATGTGCAGTCTGTGTCTATTGTTGACACAGAATTAAAGGTTAAAGACCCACAGGTAAGTTACTAATTCCCTGTGCCAAGAAACAGTTAACCATTAGCTAAATAGAAAGTTGTTGCCATGAATGTCTGCTTGCTGCTTTGATAGTTATGTCAGAAATTTTGCTTACGATTTTGCTTGACGATTGAATAAGTACTGGTTCTCTGGCAGGTGCTGGGAATAGACATGGCCCCACTGCCAGCCTGCTGTCAGGACAGTTGGGAGAGATTGGAAACCAGGAATTAGAAGGCAGCACCAAGAATAGTGGGCTGTGCTGATGAGGCTTATCTGTCTTCTCTGTTAACCTTTCTGTCAACAAAATTTATGGAGTGCTCAGAATGTATTAGGATCACAGGACATGCTGGGGCAACAGAGAAATGGGCTTGTCTTCTTGAATCTCTTCACTTAGTCCAGCATATGGACTGCCTCACCTGTTCATGTGTGGGAGCTAAGAAGAACTTTGTGTGACATTGTGGATGCGTTGGGGCAGTTCTAGCACCAGAGTAAAAACAACCCAAAGTGTGTGCCTCACATTACTGATATCTGGATGGTTTCTGTCTTATAAAGAACCAATTTGGAAGAATTTGATAAGACACTAAAATAAAACTTGTATGGTGGACCTCTTCATTCTTATACTAGAGGCCCACTGCACAGAATTTGTGCAAGGGGCTCGGCCCTCACAGCTGCGGAGACTGCCTCGGCCCTCATAGCCCTGGCTTCATCTGGAAGGTCGTTTGGCTGTCCGATTTTTGTGGCATTGTTGGAGTTTTATCCACACTGAGATTTTATGTCATTGTACTCGATTTTGGCCAGCTGAGGGGAACTGGAGAGCTTTCCAGCACTGCTGTGGAGGGACAGGTAGCACAGTATAGCTGGAAGACATGAGTGCTAACCACTAAACATTTTGATGTTCTCATCTTTGACTGCAGATTCACCTCAAGGAACTTATCTTAACATATAAGTATGTAATTTTGTAGAGATATATGAACAAATATTATTGTTAATAATAGCTAGCACTTAGAAATATTTTAACTATCTTTCCAATGTGTTCTTTATTTGTGCAATGCCATGCTTTATTTCTGTTTTTATAGTTGCTATGTCTTTTCTCATGCTGTTAAGCATTTTTGCCATCATTACTCCGAACTCTTTCATATAAATTTCTTATCTCTATTTCATTTATCTCTTCTGGGGAATTCTTTTGTTATTTTATTTGTGGGTTGTTTCTTTGTATCCTCATTTTGGCTGCCTGTTTGGATTTGTTTCTAGGTATTAGGTAGATCTGCTATACCTCTCAATCTCTAGTGCAGGACAGTGTCAAATGCTGTTTCTGACTAATTAGATCAGGCAAATACTCAAAGCCTTCAGAGACCACCTCTGCCTACCAACTGATAGGATGCTGACTTGAATTGCCACAGGACAGTCATCCTCAGGAGTGTCCAGAGTTGCCTTTTTTTTTTTTTTTTTTTTTTTTCTTCTCAATAAGATGGAGCAATTGCTTCTGGCTGTTATTTTTAGACTCTTAAGTGACCTCAGGGAAAGGTGTTTTCCAATTGGGTGGGCCAACTGTCTTCCCCCAGGCAAGGCTGCCTGAAAAGAAATGTCTGTGTGGGAAAGGTGTCCTCCACTCGTGAGGGAATGATTCAACACAGGAAACTAGGGGTTTCTACCTTGTGAGCTCTAACCCCTGAGTCCCCAACCCTGGCTTCTGCTCACACAGCTCCAATCCACTCTGCCCTTCCTGCTGGAGCACATGGTGGGTGGCTCCATTTTGTGTGTTGGCCCTTTAAGAGGATGCTTGAATTTCCAGCTGTTACTCCCTAGCAGATAGTAATCCTGCTGCTTTTCACAGCTAGATGTTATGTGGGTGCCCTTCTCAGTTCTGGTGCTTGCTGCTGGGGGGCCCAGCTTGGGGATTGGATCACAGAGTTGTCAGTGGCAACCCCCCACAGCTGAAATATCTCTCAGGAACTTCAGTTGCTGTCTGTGGTTGCCAGGCCAGCCCTTTTGTGCCTCCACCTCTTCAATAGTCTCTATGTGGTCTCCACTTGTGGTCTTCAGGTATCAGGGATCTCTCCAACGAGTTTTCTATTGATTATTTAGGAAGTTTTTCTGTATTTTAGTTGTAATTCCAGTCTGTTTCTGGGAGCATGTCTGTGCAACATCCGCCTACTCTGCTGCCATTTTTAATCTTTTAAATAATGGGAAACATTTGGGTAATGTAAGATGAATGCGAGGTAGATTGTAGAGAGCAGCAAGTTCTAGCTGTGGCTCAAGGAGTGACTCCCAGGATATAAACTGAGAACCCACCCTCTGAAGAAAGGGCTTCCTCCGTCATTGTCTGGATGCTGGGGAGTCAGGAAGGCCTCATGGGCACTGGTTCCAAAACCATACCACCTTAGCTATCAAAATATTTCAACTGTTTATTAGAGATTGGTTAAATGTCTGACATATTCACACCAAATATGCTATAACCATGAAAGAGAATGGTATTTCTATCTACTGATGTAAAATGTCTCCTAGCTCTAGTAACTGGGAAAAGCGTGTTTAAGAAACTGTGATAGAATTAATTTTGAGTCAGATGTATGTGGATATATTATAGGCTAACATTTAGGAGATTGATTGTAGGGGACTTTGACATTTTTTTAAATGTTTTTATTGATTTCAGATAGAGGAAGGGAGAGGGAGAGAGGGATAGAAACATCAGTGATGAGAGAGAATCACTGATCGTCTGCCTCCTGCATGCCCCATACTGGGAATTGAACCTACAACCCAGGCATGTGTCCTGACCTGAAATCTAACCGTGGACGCTCAACCACAGAGCCATGCTGGGCAACTTTGACATTCTTCATTCTATAATTGCAATTTTTAACAAGTGTGTTACTTTTATAATTATAAAAACATTAAAGTTATTTTTTCAAATAGAGGTCATACACCAAAAGGGGAGGGAGGGATAAACACATTTAAAAGAGCTAATCCTGACTCTGAAGTAATAGACTTTTTTTCTATTAACATCACCTTCAATCTTTATTTTTGGACTTTAAGGTTCAAATTGGATATTAGAATTGAAAAGTAAGTGATTTTTCCATTTGTGTAGACTTATTTGATTTTCTTTCTCATCACAGCCCATCGATTTGAGTGTATGCACTATTGCGCTTCACATCTTCCACCTAAATGAAGATGGCCCCACCAGTGAAAATTTGGAAGAAGAGACAGAAAATATAATTGCAGCAAATCATTGGGTTCTGCCCGCAGGTAGGTGATAATAACAGTAGATAAAACATGCTGAATCCACAAGGTCAGAGGATGGCATAATCTCAGATTTTCCAAGTCAGTTAACCAGAGAGGTTTTTGTTCATTTGTTTTGTAGGATTGTAAGGTATTTTATATCTTACAAAAGAGGAAAGTAGAGAGTTCCTTTGCACTGAATCCTCACAGATGGTGTTCATTGAGAAAGGGACCATTCTCTTCCTTCCTGTCCACTTGGTCAGTCCTACTGGACCACTCCTTTCTCCTACTGTCTCGATGCTAATTTGTGGACTTGCCAATGTGTTCTTATAGGCAGAGTCCTGGGGTTAACTTAGTCATCAAGTTTTATGCCTGATGTCCTAATTGCTGGACTAGACCCGCTGCTCTGCCTTGCCCAAGTGTTGACCTACAGGGAGAGTTGTGGATTAGAGTCTGTCTACAAGAGATGGCTGTATGTAACAACATGACAAAAAGTAATTCTTACCCAGTTAATTATCTGTTAAAAGTCCTACATAGCTGACATTTATTTTACATATTTAATTTTAAGACAGTTTTTAAAAATTTAACTTCCCCTTAATCAGAATCTTAGCATGCCAGTGTGGAGCAGGGGAGAGCATCAATGGCTCAGGGCAAATCTTGCTGGTAGGTGTAATGCTTGCTTCCTAAAGTTAAGTTTTTGTTTCATTTTGTCACAGCTGAATTCCATGGGCTGTGGGACAGCCTGGTGTATGATGTGGAAGTCAAATCTCACGTAAGTTTCACTTTTTCCCCAAAAGGCCCCCTTGTTTGAAGTAGAGTCACTATTGTTTTGCTAACAACTCAGAACTCTTTGACTGAAATATGTTTTTGGGAGCCACTGCCTGCTAGCAGCTGATATCCTACATGTCCGTCCTCTGAGACTGCTCCCACATGGAGTTGGTCTCTGGGGCATCCCCGAGGGGGAAGTGGGAAGGTGCCAAATGTGAAGAACCACGAGGGCTGAAGGGAACACTGCAGACAGAGCAGGTTGGCAGAATGGAGCAAGTACCAGCATGTCTAAAACGCTTTTAAGGGAGGAGTCCTTCTGCACACTGTGGGGGATACTGGTAGTCTATCCTGGTCTCCCAGGCTGCTCTGGGCAGCCACAGTGAGAGGAGGGAGTCCTGACTGTTATATTGTAGTAAGTGTGTTGAGTGCTTGCCTACTGCTATGTCAGCCCAGGGGAAGGAGCGTAGTCCTACTTGATAAGTCCCTTTTGTGTAATCTAGTAATTAAAATATTTGTTTATCCTTTATGCTTGTAATAGTAATAGCCAGCAGCTAGCCTCATCTGCTTTAAGTTACCTTCTAAAATGAAAGCTTGTGATGTATCCAGGAAGCATCTGGTTGTGGTGTCTATGGAGGGCTGCCTTGCTCCTGTCCCTGCTGCCTGCGCAGGAGCACAGAGTGAGAGCCTGTGTCTGTTAGCCTCTTTATCTGCATGTTTCCTTTCTTCACTCAGCTCCTTGATTATGTGATGACAGCGTTACTGTTTTCAGATAGGAATGTTGACAGCAATCTCATCACCTGGAACCGGGTGGTGCTGCTTCACGGTAAGGCATGTGAGGTTACATGGACAGGGAAGGCTGTGATATCAGGTTTTACGTGTACCTTTGTCCTTCTGGGAAGAGTTACAGCAGTTTCATTCTGGTGGAGCCAGAGTTGTCCTAGAATGTTCCTTCTTCGTGAAGCCGATGCAGCTGACATTATTCTGGGCATTTGTTACTTGACTATTTGTCTGGCAGCCACCCAATTACTTCCTTGTGACTTTTTATATTATTATTAAACATTTCAATTAACTCTTATTTCTCCAACTGATCGTAAATTCCTTGGGAAATAAATTGCCTGGTATTTCTTTGTAGTATTCTTAAAGCTTTGCTTTGTGAGCAGTAAGCTGCAAAACCATACTTTACAGAAATTTTGTCTGGTTCTTCCCAGAGAAAGATAGGGGGTATTTTTCTTAGCTTAGGAGCACAGAGTAATCAGCCTCTTTATACCAGTTAAGATTGTACAGTTGTATATGCCTTTTAAATAGCAGATATCTCAGCACATTATCCTGATACCAGTATCATAAGTATTTCAATTCTTTCATTTAGAACTTGTTATATATTTTCTTTTTCATTATTAAAAATGCTTGCAAAAAATCATTTGAATATACCAGAATTTTCTATTAGATGCGTTTGTTCTTCTACATTGGTCACCTCAGAACTTCTGCAAGGCATGTTAGGTGACACACAGAGCAAGAGGCTGTACAATCAAGGTCCCTTGCCTTCATCCTCTGGTTTAGTACGGGGTGCGGGCCACTGTAGAAATAGCCATAGTGAAAGACGGTGCTGCTGTGGCCTGCAGACACAGCAAGTTTCAGTGCCTAAGTGTCCTGATGATTAGCAAGAAAGGTGGGTTTGACTTTTGAAAGATGCCTTACTAAGTAAACTTCATAGATGACGTGGGGACAAGGAGGTGTTAGTGAAGCTATAGACCAGGAAATGCAGTGCTCACTTAGAGAGCTGAGCCAGCCCCTCGGCCCAGAAGCAGGGCTTATGTCAGGGGCAGTGGAAGCTAAAACGAGAAGCACAAGTTAAATTCAAATTAGGAAAAAAGACTTTTAAAGTGTACAGTATCGGTAATACTTTATGGCACTTTGCTAGCAGACTTCTTTGCGTGTTAATAGGCAGTGCTTGTAATAATATTCATAGTATTGAGCTCTCCGCTTCTTATTTTGTATTCTGTCGAAAATACAACTACCATGGTTTTAAGAAATTTGTCATAACGCTGACTTAAACATGTATTTGCTTAAATTTTGTCCCAGGTCCTCCAGGAACTGGAAAAACATCCCTGTGTAGAGCGTTGGCCCAGAAATTGACCATTCGACTTTCAAGCAGGTAACTGGTGATTTGAGAGAGGAGAGTAGTGGGAATGAGATTTATAATAGCATAAGCTGTCTTTTTAATAACTTTACTTGAATAGTAGGTCCCTGTCTTTCATTGTAAAATATTTCCTCTGTACTAAACATAGTCTTGAGTTATGACTTCAATCTTTTTAAATTTATGGAGATTTGCTTAGTAACCAGCTCGTGTTCTGTCCTGTGGACCAGTTCCATGTGCACTTCAAAGAACGTGTTTCTGCTGTTGTTGGGTGGAATGCTTCATGGATGTCAGCTCAGGGTACTTGATGTCCCTGCTGATAGTCTAGTCTGATGTTCTATCACTTACTGGAAAGGAATGGCCAAGCTTCTAATGGTGAATTTGTCTGTTTCTCCTTGAGTTCTGTCTGTTTTGGAATTTATGGTCTCATCACATTTGAAAAATAGTTGGCCATTTTTTTCTCAACTAATTTTCCTAATCTCCCCTCAGCCCCCTTTCTGGGAGCCCATTGATTTGCAACTTAGACTGTGATGTTATCCCAGAGGCCACTGGTATACCTTTTTGTTATGTTTTTTTCAGGTTTTAAACTTTTCCTGTCTGTGTTTTACTTTGGATAGTTTCCTGCAGTATCTAATTTGCTTTTAATTACATTCAGAGAAATTTTCATTTTGGATAGTGAGTATTTTTTTTCTCTGAAGTGCCATTTGGTTCCTTTTATACTTTTTACTTATGTTCTGTTAAAATCCTTGATCAATTTTTATAATAGTTATTTTAATGTTCTTGTGGACTAACTCCATAATCATTATTTCTGAGTCTTTCTATTGACTGATTTTTCTTCTGGTTACAGGTCACGTTTTTTGCCCTTGGCATGTCAGGTAATTTCTGTTGGAATGCAGACATTGCGATCTGAAGTGTCTGGGTTCTCCAAAGGCTGCTGGGTCTTGTTCTGATAGGCATTTCTGTTACTTGTGATTTGTTGTGATCCTTTTGAGGTTTGTTTTTAAACTTTATTAGGAGTCTAGGTGTTCTCCAGGAGGCCCTTCCTGGGGTCTCAGTTGAACACCTTGAATGAGTAACAAGTATTCTCTGCTTTGGCTGTTGGGAACTTGAACATAGCCAGTCCGTGTGAGCACCGGGAACCGTTTAGCTCACAGGTTTGGAGAACCTTATGGATTTCCCTGCTCCTAGACATCAAAGTGTTCAGTAAAGACTTGAAGGAACATCAGGGTGATTTCTGGTGCTTTATTTCTGAAAAGCTTCCTGCCCTCTGGACTTCTGACCTCTGTCTCCTCAATTCAGCATCGTGGTTGAGTTATTCTTATGTCTTCTCCACACAGAGAGCCGATGATTGTAGTACCAATTTATTTCCTTGTCTCAGGTCACAGTCCTCTGTGCCTGTTGTCCAGTGCCCTTCATTGACGTTGCTTCATTTATGCGGTCAAGTAGTCTAGTTGGTGAAGGCACAATATAAATCTGGTGCCTGTTACTCCCATTTGGCTTTAGAAAAGGGAATTCTATGAGATTTACTTTTAAATATCTACTTTGTTTTCAAAATGTCTTGTATTTTTTCATAGGGAAATTGCTTTATTTCAACCCTTTATTTTATGCTTAGCAACTTGGCCTTTGTCTTAACATATTGAAGTGCATCTGTGTTTTAAAGATCTTTATGAGCAGTTTTCTAAAACACCACAGAGTGAAAATGTTGTTACAAGAAATAGAAGTTTTCCTAGCACAGTCATGCATGGTATAACTACTTTTTGGTCAACAACTGGCTGCATACATGATGATGGTCCCATAAGATTATAATGGAGCTGCAGAATTCCTATTGCCTAGTGACACTGAAGCCATGATAACATCAGAGCACAACACATTACTCATGTGTTTGTGCTGATGCTGGTGTAAACAAACCCACTGAGCTGCCAGTTGTATAAAAGTACAGCTCATACAGTTAGGTACAATACATATTATTTGAAAATGATAATAAACAACTATGTTACTGGCTTAAGTATTTAATGTGTATACTTTCTGTTGTTATACTTTTTATTCACAGTGTGCTCTTTCTACTTATAAAAAGAGTTTGCTATGAAACAGTGCAGGGTGTGTGTGTGTGTGTGTGGTGCTGTGCTGGATCATATACTTCGTGTTTACCAAGAGCCTCTGTGTAAGTGCCTCTGTAAAGCTGTCACAATGAGGAAATCGCCTCACCATGCATTTCTCAAATGTGTCCCCTCATTAAATGACACGTGACTGTACAAAAATCTGATAATGTATAACTCTGTTTATCAACCCAGTCTTTATTTTGTTACATTGTCTGTCTTCCCTCTCCTCCTTTGTGAACAGAATTAGTAAATGGTCTTTTCTTTTTTAAATGGAAAGTCTCTTTTTTAAATTTGAAAGTAATTCTTTTCCTTCTGTGGACTTTCAACATGAAAGACCCTGGAGAGGACTTGGGAGTCAGCTCCTGTCCTGCCTCAGTCTGGTTTTCTGTACGATTCTAGTCAGAACTACTAGTAAGTGTGTCCAGACCTCTCAGCTGCCTCCTGAGTGGCTGCAGGATTACTGCTGATGCCATTCAGTTTGTGTGTTAAGGTTCACTTTTTGCCATCTCAGTATCCACGGTGCTAGAATTTGTGCTGGAAAGTAAATTGTTACAGTTTTTAAGGTTTTGTGAAAGGAGGAAAAAATATTCAACGCCAGGTAAAACCTCTGATGCTTGTTTATGTAGATTTGTTTGCTTATTAGTACCATAGTACCTCTAAAAAATAAATGTAAATTATAAGTAGATTAAAAATGAGAGGAATTCTACTGTTGTTTTAAGCCAAATGAAGATATTCAGTTTGAAAAACTTAATTTGCTTCAACCAGAACTGTTGGTTGCATTTTTTTAGATTTTTCATACTAGTTAGTATGCAGACTACTGGGTACCTCAGTTCTTTGTCAGTAATTATAATGATGTGTTAGTAATGCTCACCACACTGGGCAGCTGAGAGGTGTTGTATTTAATGAGCAAAAGTGCTGCCACTGGGATTGCCAGAGGACTAATTTGTAACGTAATTGTCTTAACTCTTTTTTTTCTTTAATCCTAGGTACCGGTATGGCCAACTAATTGAAATAAATAGCCACAGCCTCTTTTCTAAGTGGTTTTCAGAAGTAAGTTTTAGTTCTCTAGATTGTCAATCATTTAGTTTAGGGGTGTTGAACTCAATCAGAGAAGGGGCCAAAATCTAAAATCCAGCCTAAATCGCGGGCCGAATGGTTTACTGAACAGTCATAAACTGTCATTGTGATGGAAATGCAGTGGAGTGCAGTGATGACAGCGCGGTGCGGGCCACATTGCAAGGCCTGGCAGGACGGATTTGGCCCGCGGGCCTTGTGTTTGACACATGTGATTTAGTTGAAAAGATGGCCTGTATATTAGGCAAACTTTCTGTGCATCTGACTTTGTGGTCAGAGGAAACTTTCAGAGCTAAGCAGTTACTTAGAAATAGTATGAGGCCTGAAAGCCTGGGTACAACAAATGACTATCACCATTGTCTGAGGAGGGAGGGCATCCTGAGTTCTCACCTGGACTGCACCCCTCAGCTGAGCATGCACTTGGAGTTCTGAGCCTCTTTCTGCCATCTGTGAATTGAGGGGCTTGGACAAGGTGACAGTACAATATCCCTCGCTTTTGAAGTGTTCTGCCGCAGGCAGCCCTGTCAGTTGGCCCTTATGGTAGGTTGGAGTAGGAACAGGGAGTGTCCATAAGGAGTGTGCCTGGCTGGTTTGCATCTTGGCACCCGTGATTCATCTCATTCCCAGTCGTGGGGACAGTTGGGAAAGTAAGAAAACAGATTGTGAGCCATGTGGCCCCTGGACAGGAGTTTATGGACTCAAGTCTCAGTGTCCTGGCACATGAAGCAGGGAAAGAGGGCATTTGGCTTTACCTACACCCCTGCAGACCTGGCTTCTCTGATTAGGGAGTTCTCCAAGGGCTGTCAGGAAATGGCGGGGGTACCTGGAGTCAGAGTGATGCCAGGTGGGGACAGGTGTGCACCAGGCAGCATGATGAGTACAAGTCAACACTGAGTGTTTTGGTTCCAGAGTGGCAAGCTAGTAACTAAGATGTTCCAGAAGATCCAGGATCTGATTGATGACAAGGATGCTCTGGTGTTCGTCCTGATTGACGAGGTAGGCATGTTCATGCATTAAACCTGTGGTGGAGGAAATTCAAGACTGAGCGTCTCTTACTGCTGCCAGGGTGCAGCCAGCCCCTCGCTCAGCCCAGCCTCCATCGGGCAGTCACTGTCTCATGCAGCCCTGTCCTCTTTGCCATCCCACATATTAAACTTCTGGCATACCTGGACACCTGACACCCATTCATTTGTTCATTCACTTGCTCATTCACATGTTCCGCGGCTGACTTGTGGGGCCAGGTGCTGTAGTTTTTTCATTGCTCTGTCCCCACAGGTGGAGAGCCTCACAGCTTCCCGCAATGCCTGCAGGGCAGGCACCGAGCCTTCAGATGCCATCCGTGTGGTCAACGCTGTCTTGACCCAAATCGACCAAATTAAAAGGTACTACAGTCATGTGCCACTTAACGATGGGGGTACGTGCATTGTTAGGTGATTCTGTTGAATGAACATCAGAGAGGCACTTATACAAACCCAGATGGCATAGCCGCTGCACCCTTAAGCTATATGGTACAGCCTTTTGCTCCTCAGCTATAAGCCTGTACAGCAAGCATGTCAAACTCCCATCTCTGCTCTTGTTTGGCTCACCCTGTTCACCATTTGAGGGCTACACACCTGTTGCCAGAGTCCAGGTGAAGCTGATCTTCCTAGGTGCTCCCTGGCTACACAGCTGCCTGTGAGCCATCTGTATGCTGACCACAGTCCCTGAGGGCAGCACTGCCCCTATACCAGGCTGGGAAGCATGCTTCCCAAGGCACCTTGTGCCAGCCCAGGTTGGAGAGCAGAGTGGCAGTAGTGGCTCTCAGAATTTGGAAGCTAGAGGAGAAAGCAGCTGGTAAAGGGGATTTTAAGACTGATCCATGGTTGTCGATAGCTGTGTGATGAGCAGTTGTATGCTGTGCCTAGGCAGATGGGGTGCAGTTACTGGGGGAGTGGTCAGGAGATGGAGCAATCAGGGATGCCCTCAGAGATTAGACTTTTATCACAATTGAATGAAGTAAGGGAACAGCCAGCAGATGTCTAGGAGAGCTTTCCAGAGGACAGAGAAGTGACCAGAGCAAAGGTCCCCAGAGAGTTGGATTGACACACTGTGTGTGGCCAGGTGCTCAAGAGTTGCAGGATCTCAGGAGGCCTCATGGGCTGTATTGGGATAGGAAGGATAGCTAGCTGAATGACAGCTAAGTGCCCAGAACCTTCAGGCAGCTCCTGACAATCCTTGTGTAGGGTAGGGTATAATCAAGTCACAGGCACGGGCTGACTGGTCCTCTCTCCTCCGCCTCCAGGCACTCCAACGTGGTAATACTGACCACTTCCAATATCACGGAGAGGATCGACGTGGCCTTCGTGGACAGGGCTGACATCAGGCAGTATATCGGGCCCCCCTCTGCCGCAGCCATCTTCAAAATCTACCTCTCCTGTTTGGAAGAACTGATGAAGGTGCTTTGGTTTTTTTTCTCTTACCATTAGACTTTATATATTTTTTAAATTCCTTGACATAGATTAAAATAGTTTGAATATAGGATAAGGTATTTTTACAAGGCATAAACCATTTCTTTAGATTGAACAATCAGTTTGTTATATCTGGCAGGTTGCATTAATGGTCAAAATCATGGCCACTGACTCAGTATTTTTGCTTTTTTGGCACAAAATGATCATTGTGGTTGTTTGATTTACCTGCAGGCGATGAATGGGTAGGAAATGTATGGGCTGTGGTCAGCATTCCTGGCAAGTTCTGGTTCTGACGGCCTTTGCAAGTGATCCACTCTCTGAGCCTCATTTTCCATCCCTGAAAGAAGAGCAGTAGAGGTCCTGATTGACAGAGAGGTCATCTGACAGGGGGTCATCTCACAGGGAATCATCCAGACTAGACAGACTCTCACAGCCTGTCATCGGCTATGGTGTTCATGTCCTTTTGGTCCCGTGTTCTGGTGATAGCAGTGAGTGCAGCAATGTTCACAGTCTCTGATAATTCAGTATAACAGGGACCTGACCTGTTCCTGGTGCCAAGAGCTCTGGGCACTGCGAGGACATGCACTGTAACCAAGCTAACCAACAAATGGGCATTTACCTGGTGATCATAGTAAGGCATCATTGTAATTACTGATGGGGTGGAATCACCACCCCCACCCCCTCCCCCCATCCCCTTTTGCAGCCACCTCCTGGCACTACAGATCTGGACCCAACATCCTCCACAAAGATGACACAGCCTGTGGCAGGGACAGGAGAGCTGGGCTCAGGACTGGGCTCAAATCTGGTTCAGGACTGACCTGGCATGCACATTCCATCATACTTTTCTGGGATGTGGGAGAGGCAGAGGGCTCCCAGGAAGCTTTGATGTGAGATCCCAATTGGCCATCAGAAATGTTGTGCAGTGCAATGGCGGGTCCTGCTGGAGATTGCCCTCAGTGTGGTGTCGTACTCACACTTGTGCTCTGAATCCAGGGATGTTCTCAGGTTGAGCCAGGTGCATGGACTTTTTCTGGGAGCTGAGCATGTGGGCAGGGGTGGCTTCTTACACAGATTACAGGAAGTTCGGTTATTCCAATGCTCTAGTGGAGATTTGGCTGGTCCTGAAGGCTGACGTGTGATTGTGCCCTCTCTGTCAAGACCCTGAGGTCTGCCATCCTCGCACAAGCCTGCAGGACGGTGCCTGTTAATGGAGGGGCCGCAGGGGCAGCTCGGGCGGCTGCAGGGAGCCTGAGGTAGTCAGTCACTTAGATGGGGGTCCAAATATATCGAGCTCAAACCCTGCTCTTAATTTTACCTATGACCCTCATCAAACCTCCAAAATGTACGGAGGAAGCCTTTCATTTTTCTATCTCCTGGTTCCTGAATCAAAACAGTTCATGTTGAAATTCATTCAGTGGTGGCAGTCTGACAGTCCAGTGTGGCTACTTGGCAAAGAACATCCAACATGCAGGCTTGTGGTCTACAAGGTGCTCTCTGACTCAGATCCTGGTTGTGTCAATTCACCAAGTGAGAGTCTAATCTTAAAAACAACAAACACAGACTCTCCTTGAAAGGCAGGCGAAGTCTTGGCTCCAAAGCCCAGCTCTGCCGTCTGTGGGTTGTGTCATGTCCTTGAAACCAAATATCAGATTGAACTCCCATGTTGACATGTGACGTGGTGAGGACACATTTTGGCCAAAAACATAGAAAAGGCTGGGCCACTGCTGGTTTCAGAGACGTGTTTTGTTGTTTGTATTCTTGCCTTTGTTTGAAGAATCAGGGAGATGTGTGTTGGGGTGGAGTGATGTGCATGCACTTGTTAAATGGCCTGTTTGCGTTTTAATAAGATGTGATGTGCTTGCTCTCTCTGTGCTGTCCTGTTACTGACTGTATGCATTCTGCCCCTATCTTCCCAGTGTCAGATCATATACCCTCGCCAGCAGCTGCTGACCCTCCGAGAGCTGGAGATGATTGGCTTCATTGAAAACAACGTATCAAAGTTGAGCCTCCTTTTGAGTGAAATTTCAAGGTGTGAATGGACCTAATTTTTGTAACCAAGAAAAGTCCATTTGCTGTAGTAATAGGGAGTCATAATTGACTGTAACCATCTGAGGTCAGGGTTTGGGGGTCAGAGGATAGAGAGTTGAACCCCAAGTCATCATACATAGGCTAGTGGAGCTTCGGAGCCCCCTTGTTCTGGGTTCCTGGTCCAGGACTGCTAGTGCTTTTAAGTTCTCAGACGGCTTTGGGGATCAAAGAAGGTAGAGAATGGGGCAGAGCCTCAAAGAACAATAAGAATTCAGAAAAACTGGAGAGAAATCGGTGAGGCCGCAGGCACCGTGGGTGCAGGGACCTTAGGTGAGTTGCGCTGCCGAGGGCCAATTCTGGAGAACTTCTGGGTTCTGACCAGAGTTTGAACTTTATTCTGAGGTCGTAAGGGGTGTGGAAGGTTTTGAATGAAGATATAACATAAAGAATGGTATTATTTTATATATATATATATTGTATATATATATATATATATGTATAAATACTTTTAGAGTGGGAGGAAGGAGATTGGGAAAGAGAAAGAGAAACATCAGTGTGATAGAGATAACATCGATTGGTTGCCAAAAGGCTGAGAAGCAAAGTGCCCCCACTGACCAGGAATCAAACCGTGACCTCCATGTTAATGATCAACGCTCAACCACTGAGCCACACCAGCTGGGCTAAAGGGTATTTTTAAAAATTATTTGTTGAAGAAATTTAAACCAGTTGAGATAGGACAGAGGGGAGTAGTTCAGAAATTTCTGCAAAAATTAATAAAAATATGAGGTAATCCATGCCGCTGGGTAGGGGTTGGGTCCCTGAGCACAGCGTTGCCTTAGGTGGCACAAATGGGCAGCAAGGACCCTTCCCCACCGGGAGCAGTAGCTGAGGACTCCTCAAGGGGTTGTGGGAGAAGGAACATTCAGAGATGGGTAGGAAAAGTAGTCCTAAAACATAATTGTTCACTTGACATCCACAAACTTGGCTTACATTCTCAGGAAGAGCGAGGGCCTCAGCGGCCGTGTCTTAAGAAAACTCCCTTTTCTGGCTCATGCACTGTACATTCAGGTAAGTCTTCCACAGCCACCCTCCACCACTGGGTACTTTTCTCTTTACCATCCACTCTGTCCAGCAGTGTGTGGCCTTGCTAGGAGTCACATTTAAACCATTGGGTTATCTGCCTTCTTTTACCTCAGTTTCTAACGGGACAGGCTCCTGGAGCCTAGGAGGTGCTAGCCTGGGTGCCTTAGTGGTGGGGCCCCGCCAAGCTCTTTGGGGGGAGGTGGCCGTGCTGTGTGTCTCTGCTTGTACACATCAGAGCTCACATCCAAGCCTCCGAGAGGTGCTCGTGCCCCTCGGGCCTGGGCCAGCTCCCTCAGAACAGCCGCCCGGAGTTGCCTCTCTGACGTCTGCTTCATGGAAGGGATGAGTGCTGCCAGTGGCCCTCAAAGGCGAGGGTCACCCCTCCATTCCTTCATCCCTATCCTTCCAGGCTCCCACCGTCACCATCGAGGGCTTCCTCCAGGCCCTGTCTCTGGCGGTGGACAAGCAGTTTGAAGAGAGAGAGAAGCTTTCCTCTTGTGATTGATTGAGCGGGGCTCCCCACCTGTGGTTTTCAAATCATGAATGCGAACAGTGAGGTCGCTTCCTCAGAAATGTGTCAACGTGGCATAGACCTGCAGGGCCAAGCATTGTTAAAAGAAAGTGCCATATTTATATATTTTAAAATGCATGTTAGAGGGCAGGTGGCATGTCATTTTCACTGTTTTAAAGGGAGATAGTTCAGGTTCTGTTATCTCTTTGTAAAGAACTGTCTAGATGTGTTTCATCCTGCTTGGGGTTGATTGGACACAAAATGTTTACAAATTTTGTTTAAAAATGATGACTAATATAGGTTAGGGAAACAAAAGAGGAATTACATTGCCGTAAATAAGAATCTGGTCATAGCATTAAAATTGTAAAAATCACTCAAGATAGAAGATGTCACTTGCTATCTGCAGTGAGCTTGTTTTACTTAGTGCAGACATTGCAAAGGAAATGTGCATAAGGAAAAGCTATTCCTGTGTTACAGAAATCAAGAAAAAATTCTAGGTAAAGTATTGTTCACAGCAGTCAGATGTGGCCCTCCTGGTGGGAAGGCAGTCCTCGATGTTCCCCCGCATGTGTCAGGTGCTCTCAGCTGCACAGGCAAAGGTACAGCAGCACCTCTCCCTGCATTCAGTTCCATAGCGTTACCACAGCTCAAGTGAAAATTCACATTAACAGATGTGAAACAACTGGCCAATAATTGGTATATTGCACAGAATATTATGTTTTGCTTTTATCTCATGCTAAAATAAATTTTATATTAGTGTTTTGTATACATTTTTTAAAAAACGTGTTACCTTTTGTTATATAACTTTTTAAGTATTAAAAGTTTTTCCCCCCAGAATTTTCTTGCTTTGTTTCTCTTACCACTCCCATCCGCTTTGAATATTATTTAAAAATTGCTCACACAATTACTTAACTTTTAGCGTGTTTTATGCTTTGGGGATAAAGGCAGAGAGGCTATGCCCATTTTATGGGAACTGCACACACAGGTGTGGGAGGGTTTCAGGCTGCACGGTGGAGGACCCCCAAGGCCGTGGCACACTCGGTGCCATCTGCCATCCTTGGCTTTAGCCAGAGCCAGAGCCAGTGACTTCTGCCTTGGAGTCAGAGCCTGGTTCTGAGGTTTCCTGAAGACCCTATAATGGGGAAAGGTGGGTCTGGGCACCGGGAGCGAAGGGGATGGGATGCTCCACACCCTAGTATTGGGGCTGGAGAAGGCAGGGACCATGAAACAACTTCATTTCACAGGTTGCTGCTGAAATGCCCAATGTTTAGGTACCCAGGTGGAAGGAAGGGGTCTGGGAGGAAAGGAAGAGCCTGGGGCATTATGGATAAAGAAATAGGCAGCAAGGGAGGCAGGCATGGGGAAGAGAGCTCAGAAAGACGGGTGGGCAGGGCCTTAGAGCCCAGACTCTGCCAGCAGTGTAGGAGAGATTGGGGGGAGCAAGAAGGGGGGTTGGTAACATTCACCAGACCTACACCCATTTCCCAGAAAGGGTTCTAGGGGGTCTGTGGGTGCAGCTGACACATCTGCCCATGGGCCACTAGAGGGCAACACCACTCCTCGGGATGGGATGGAGGGAGTTCTGGGCTCACCAGGGCCCCAGGATGGAAAGATGGTCAGCAGAGGTGGCCAGCCGGGCCATGTGTCTCTGTTCAGGCCCAGAAGTCCCTCTATCCTCCCTACAAGCCATGTGTGTTCATGAGCTTGCATGTGTGTGTGTCTACATGGGAGGGATGGGGGCAGGGTATGGGAACTTCCCTCCTCAGGACCTAGCTCACCAGACTTGTGTAGACAGAAGAGACATAGGCCATCCCCACACCCATCCGTCCTTCCAGAGGAGGCCTCTGCTTGAGATGGGAGGACCAAGGTATGAAGAGGGAGGTCATCCCTGATCGTTTACTTTTCCCACCTCCCTCGAGTAGATGTGGCCTGTGGGAGTCAGGATTGGGATACAAAGAGCTAAGGCAGATGACCATCCCCCCACCCCCCACCCCTAGGAGGAAAACAGCTCCCACACTGCCACCTGCCACCCCCTGTGCTCTGAGCAAGAACGGGGATCGCTGAGTTCAGACGTCACACACCTGCACTCAGGGCCGAAGCTGCTCACCTGTGGTGGACAGGACACAATGCAGTAAACAACACCCAGGACTGAAGGTGACGTGCCCCTGCCATGGAGGCCAGGAGGCTTTCATTCGGAGGCTCAGCTTCCAAATCAGAGGCCTCACTCAAGGCCTCACTCTCTGTCCCAGGAAGGAAGCAATGGCTCTCGGTGCACTGGCTGTGATTCCTGTCACCATGATGAGGCTCCTGGAAAACTCGGCTGAATTATCCTTTATAACTGGAAATGTTGTTTCTCTGTCACCTGAGTTATCACTTGTTACAGGAGACCCACTTCCTCTACCACCTGAGTTCTCATTTATGACTGACAGCTTCTAAAACCTGGGTTATTTATGACTAGAAACCTTCCTCCAAAATTTGAGCTATCACATGACTGGAGTATAATCACCTGAATTATCATTTATGCCTGGAAATGTTGCTTCTCTGTCACCTGAGTTATGACTTTCTTGCTCTATAACCTAAGTAAAACAAAGACTGGAAACGTTTTGTTTTCTGTCACCTGAATTCTCATTTAGGAATGGAAATATTTTACTTTCATCTGAGTTATCGTTTATGACTGAATACATTCTTGCTTTATCACCAGTTATCTTATGACTGAAAAATTCTTCCCCTAAAACCTCAGTTGTTATTATGACTGAAAACTTTCCTCCTCTATAACCCGAGTTACTACTTATAATTGAAAATATTTTGTTCTATTACCTGAATTATTATTTATGACCTCAAATTTTGTTTCTCAAGTACCTCAATCTTTTTCTCTATAACCTGAATTATATTTATGATGGAAAACCTTCTTCCTCCAAAGCTTTAGTTATCATATTATTGACAACGTTTTGTGTCACCTGAATTATCATTTGTGACTGGAAATGTTGTATTTCTATCACCTGACGTCTTATGACTTGAGACAATTTTCCTCAATCAGCTGAGTTATTATGACTGAAAACATTTTATTCTCTATCACCTGAGTTACAAATTTGACTGGAAACCTTTTCCCTCTAATCTGAATTACCATTTATTACTGAAAACATTTTGTTCTCTATTACCATTTATGACTGGAAATATTTTTTCTTCTACTACCTGAGTTTTTATTTATGAATAGAGGCCCAGTGCACGAATTCTGGGTGGCCGGCAGGGATTGGGCCGAAACTGCAGTCCAATGCCGCCTGCAGCTCCTACCTGCCTCTCCTGCTCATCCAGCCCCCACTGTGCCTGCTGCGGGCACATGCCCAATCAGTCCCCATTGGGAGAGGCTCACGCTGCACAGCAGTGCTCACCAGCCATGAGCCCTGCCCTTGGCACCTTCCCAAGGGGAGTGGCCTGCGGGATCTGTCTGAAACCGCCCTCCAACATCCCCCGAGGGGGCCCGGATTGCGAGAGAGCATAGGCCAGACTGAGGGACCCCAATGGTGCACAATTGGGCCACGGAAGGACCATGGGAGGACTCCAGGGTGTCTGGCCTGTCTTGCTCAGTCCTGATCAGCCAGTCCGAGCATCTGCCCCCTGGTAGTCAGTGCACATCATAGTGAGTGGTTTAAAAGCCTTTGCATATCATTAGCATATTATGCTTTGGTTGCTTAATTGTTCTGCTGTTCAGTCTGTTTGCATATTACCCTTTTATTATATAGGATGGGAAACAGTCTCTCTCTAATTTCATGCCTTACTCTCACTCTCTAATTTATGACTTAATATTGTTCTCTATAATCTGAGTTATCATTTATGACTGGAAACATTTTCCCTATATCATCTGAGTTGTCATTTATGACAAAAAATGTTCTCTATAACCCGAGTTACCGAGTTATCTTGTTCAATCATCAGAGTTAGCATGACTGAAAACATTTTGTTCTCTGTCATCTTAAATAACATTTATGACTAAAACTGTTTCTCTGTTACCTGAGTTATCATTTATTATTGAAAACATTATGACCTTTCTCCAGAGTTATCATTTATGACTGGGATGGGATGGTTACCAGTAATAAATGGTAACCTGACTTACCATTTATTACTGAAAACCTTCTTCCACTATAACCTGAGTTACCATTTATGACTGAAAACTTTTTTGTCCTCTCTCTGGCCGGGTGTTGCAGTTGGTTGGAGCACTGTCCCATACACCCAAAGGTTGTGGGTTCGATTCCCAGTCAGGGCACATAAACAAGTTATTGGTTCGATCCTCGGGTGGAGTGCGTATGGGAAGCAACTGATCCATCTTTTTCTTTCCCTCTCTCTCTAAAAATCATGTTTAAAAAAACAACCTTTTTGTCCTCTATCATCTGATGGCTAGAAACTTTCTTCCCTATATCCTGAGTTATTATTTATTACTGAAAACATTCTCCCTCTAATGCAGTGGTTCTCAACCTTTCTAATACCTCGGCCCTTAATTCAGTTCCTCATGTTGTGGTGACCCCCAACCATAAAATTATTTTTGTTGCTACTTTATAACTGTAATTTTGCTACTGGTAATGAATCGTAATGTAAATATCTGTGTTTTCTGATGGTCTTAGGTGACTCTGCTAACAGTTCGCAACTCACAGGTTGAGAGCCACTGCTGTAGAGCCTGTATTAAAGGGTTGTGGCATTAGAAAGGTTGAGAACCACTGCTCTAATGTGAGTTGTCATGTAGGACTGAAAACCTATCTCTAAAACCTGAGTTGTCATTGATGACTAGAACCTTCTATGATCGTAATGCCTCTTGCACACCCCCTACCGGGGATGTGCCCGCAACCAAGGTACATGCCCTTGACCGGAATCGAACCTGGGACCTTTCAGTCCGCAGACCGACGCTCTACCACTGAGCCAAACCGGCTTCGACATAATTACTGACATTTTTTTCTACATCACCTCACTTATTATTTATGACTGAAAACTTTCTTCGTCTATTCCCTGAGTTACCATTTATGATGTAAACATTTTGACCTCTATTATCTGAATAATAGTTTATACCTGGAATGGTTCTTTCTCTCTCACCTGTGTTATTATTTGTGACTGGGAACATTCTTCCAGTGTCACCTGAGCTACCATATATGACTGAAAACATTTTGTTCTCTATCACCTGAGTTATTCTTTATGATTAAAAATCTTTTCCCTCTATAACTGAGATATAATTTATGACTGGAAACACTAATCAGATGTATCATTTATAACAAAACATTTTGTTCTCCATCAACTGAATTGTCATTTATGGTGGGAAGTGTTT